GAGAGGAGGAAGAGGAGGAGGAGGTTGATCGTTGCTCACTCATACTACCGCCATGTTCTTCAAGTTTTGTAGCAACCTGAAAGGATCTTGACGATGATGATGTACAACCTGAGTGAAGTATTGCTCTTGTACAAGACACATCACACATGGGAACGTTCTTAGGGTTTCAGTTGTATATTACAAATATCTTATGTATGACAGGTCCCGCAATCTCAACACATCTTCACACTCTTCCTCTCTCGCTCCTGCCCTTGTTCTCTTCATGCAGCCCTCGGAGGCAACAACACACCGCCTGTCAGGTCATAACGTGTGAACCAACAATCCCTTCAAACATGCCAACCAACAACTCATCTTCCTCCTCTATCGTCCCATCACATCTCGTTACAAGGCCGTGCATGACCGTTTGTTGTGACCGACTGACCCGCACACTTTGCATGTTTTCTTCCGATTCCCTGCTGTCGTGTACAGCTCCTCCAACCTTGCAGCATCTTCGTCCCCGTTGGGTCCGTTGAGGAGCTCAGGCTCGCCTCCTGCCCTCCCCTCTCCTCCTCGCTCTCTCCGCCGCTTCCTCTTGTTCTGCAGTAGCGCGTCCACGTCCTGAAGCTCGTCGGTCTGCGCCGCCATGGCAGGCTTGAGGGGAGGCTGCGGCAGGAAGTCGTCACGGGTCTTGACGCTTTCGGGGCAGGGGATGCGGCAGGAGACGAAGGAGGGGTGGGTGACTGAGGCGACGAAGTTCTCCGACAGCCAGACGGGATGGAACAGCCGCTCGATGAGTCGCTTGCTCCCTTCGCTCCCCCACCCTACCGCACGGCTGGCGGCGATCGCATGCTCGCAGGGCCGGAGGGTCTGATGCCAGTGTGTGCAAGGGCTGCACTGCCGCCTCGACAGCGAGACGACAAACTTAGGACGCAGCCCGTCCTTGTCAGCCCTCCCGAACACGTCCACGAGCATCGAGTTCTTGTGCGCCTCGAGAATCTTGCACAACTTGCTCTTCTCCGTCAGGTCCGTGTACTCGCTCCAGATCGCGTCGTTGACGAAGCAGCTCCTGACGTCATCGGGGGGGCTGAAGGAGGCGAAGTGCTGCCCCTTGTGACGAGCCTCCTCGAGCGCATCCGCCCAGATGCGAGCAAGACGCTGGAAGAAGTCGAGGGGGCCAGCACACTTGGCAAGTTTCTGCCGTGTCTTCACTTCAGTCTCTGCCGTCGGGCCGGCGGTCGAGTCGTCGACGGGCCCGAAGTTCCGGCCCTGCTCAAGAGCGATACAGTCCTGCTGAGCATGCATCGCCTGCCAAGGGGCTCAAGGGAGGTAACGACGGCTCACCCTCTCCTCTCCTCCTCTTCCTCACCCAGAGCTTGGGAGTGACTTCCTGCAAAAACTCGAAGGCCGTCGGGTTCTGCTCCTTCAGACTCGCCATAAACCTCCGCCACTCGCTCTCAGTGCTGGCCGCCTGTTGGACTATCACGACTACGCCAGCTCCTCCCTCCTCCTCACCTGCGCCTTCCAGAACAGATCTTCGCTGCCAGGAGTTTCCTTGTTGGAATTGTGCACGAGTGGTGGAACGCGCTGGGCTGGACGAGAAAAGTGAGGCTCAGGAGCAGGAGCAGGAGCAGGAGCAGGAGCAGCAGAACAATGAAGATAATAGCAGTAGGATGAGCAAGAAAATGAGCAGGATCAGAGAAGGGGGGAGCAGAAGTAAGGGAGGAGCAGCAGAAGCAGGAGCAAGGGGAGCAGGGGGAAGAGCAAGAGAAGCAGGAGCGGGAGGAGGAAGAGCAAAAGCAGGAGCGGGAGGAGGAGCGGGCGGAGGAGGAGCGGGAGCGGGAGGAAGGTTATCCTGACTTTTGCAGTACGCGTTGATCTGCTTGAGGAGGTGAGTCGTGCAGTAGACAATGTGGGCATGAGGAAGGGACGATTGTAACCCAGCCAGCACTCTAGCCCCCCGGTCGGTCATGACGGTCAGTTTTCCAGCACTCTCGTTGATCCAGGAGCCAAGTTGCGTCTCCCTCAGCTGCTTCCACACAAATTTGACACTCTCCTCCGTGTCGTCTTCAGCAACAAACCTCCCGATCGCAAACAGGCCTGTCCCCCCAACACGTCAGCACTGCAGCAGCCCGAGTACGCCTCCCGGCACACCTGCCGCGAGTGGGATCGTGCAGCCATCGCTAGTCCTCCCCTCGACTAACACGACCTTCCCGGTGAACCACTTGTGCTTCAAGGGGAACACCTCCTGCCCTCCTGCCGTCAGCCTCTTCCTCCTCCACTCGCACGCAGTACCTGACGGAGCAGCCGCAGCCCACAGCGCTTGACGTGATGGATCACGGACCCGCAGCTCAGGAACGCGCGACGGAAAGTTCCTTTCTGAGGCCCATCCTCGAAGCTCTCGCACACCCCGAGACTGGCGAGGTTGTCCTGGCAGAACTTCTCCAGCCATGCTGGGAACTTGCCGAAGGAGGACTCGTACTCGTCCCAGGAGCCGTGCTCTATGATCATCCGTGCTGCGTAGATGTTGGAGATGGTAGTGTCGATCCCTAACGACTCCTTGAGCAACTGCTGCAGCTCCTTTGCCGTCATGCGATGCCCCTGCCCCTGCCCCTCTCCTTCTCCTTGCACCTTCTGAAGTTGCGCTCGGAAGGCCTGCGAGTCGCAGAGGAAACGGACGCTCGCTTTCCCGAAGGAGGTGCAGGCGGGGACGTCGTGCCTGAGCACGCTGGTGTTGACGTCCACCCAGAAGAAGCTTGCTATCTTGGGGTTGGAAAATCGCTTCCTCCTGATCACAACTTTGTACCTGACACATCAAGTCAGCTCCCATGTACCAGGGACACAACACCGACCTGCATGCTGAACAAGTGCACGCTAAGATGTATCCACTCTCCCCAGCCAGCCCGTTCTTGACATAGTGAACCCTCTTGTTGAAGTGCTCGAGGTTGATACGCTTGATGTATGCCGTGCAGTCCGTCCTGTTCCCCCACTTCACCCCCTTCAACAACTTCTCGTGGTCCTCCTCTGGAATTTTCATTCCATTGTCGCCCTCGTTGATATGCTCCTCCTCCCCCTGCACAACGTCCTCCTCCTCAGGGCTCAGGTGAGCACCAGACCCCATCCCCTCCCTGCTGATGTCGTGGGCGGCCTCGGAGGAAGCTGCTGCTGCATCCCCTTGCCCTGGCCCTTGCGCTTGCTCTGGCCCTGGCCCTGGCCCCGGGCCTTGGCCATCAGGGCTGACCTGAAGGAAGAGCCTGTCGACAGCACGAGAGAGAGGGGTCTCGCCCAGCTGCCATCCCATGAGCTCGTAGGCTCTGCTGACCGCCTGCTGGACGGGCATGTCCGTCGGCACCTCCAGCTCGCGCTTGATGATCGCCATCTTCTCGATCAGCGACGCCATCGGTGGTCCAACTTCAACCAGTATCCGTGAGTATCCGCAAATGTATCCGTGAGTATCCGCCTGTCACCGGGGTGACCCGTGTGGACACGGTGGGGGCGCCGGGCCCTGCTCTGACCGGCGTCGTCACTGAGGGTGGGGACTCACAAACCTGGCAGCCAGACCTCACTTTTCTTTCCCCGGGAGGCTATCAGTGCCATGACTTGTGACTCGCGGGGCCGTGACGGTGGCCTTCTAGAGTCTCAAGTATCCAGCTCAGTATCCTGCTCAGCACCCTGCTCAGTATCTGGCTAAGAACGGTATGTGTGGGGATGGGGGGACCAGCGATTCAAATTTGACATCAATGGTGAGTTACGGTTTGACTGATGACGGAGTATGAGAGGAGGAGGAGGAGGAGGGCAGGACCGTTGATGGTAGCTGAAGGAGCTGGCGCCGGGGCTCAGGGTACCAGGAACATCGCACATGGTTCTGACCATTCCTTCAAGGCTGGATCTCCCAAGATCGTGAAACCGATCCAAGGACCGCCGAGATACATTGTAAGAGCACCCAAGGACTTGGCTCACCCACTGAGATAGAGTGGAATTTCAGGTCGAACTTTACTTCAAGCAGCCCTTTGAAGCAGTGTCCACGTACCATCAGTCCTTCTCCACACAACAGTACTCGAAGTCGCCCGAGGGCTTTCATGCAGGATTGATGAGTACCAGGTCGCTATGGGGTCAAGGGAAGAGAGATCCAAGAGCGGAGAACTTGAACTACAAGGTCACGACGAGCCAGGTGACCATGTCGAGGCTGGCTGGAGGATGGGACAAGGGGAAACCAGCTCTAGTGACGGGACGTATCAGGACGCGTTCCTAGGATCCACGACAGCAGCTGATGCGTACAAGTGGCCAACGTGGACCATTTGACTTGTTTCTTCTTGGCAGCTCACTTGGCATGCAGGCCGAACAAGGACAAGAACGCGGGGAAGCCAACGCCATGGGACGAGTCGCCGGAAATAGAGAGGCTCAAGTACATGCCTTTCGAGGATCAGACAAGCTACAAGGCTGCCTACCAGGTGATGATGACAATGATGATAATGAGCTGGAGGAGGAGGAGGAGGAGGAGAAAAAGTAGTAAGAGGAGCAGGAGGAGCAGGAGGAGCAAGAGCAAGACGAGCAGGATGGACAGGGGTAAGAAGAGAATTGGAGAAAACGACAAGGTCGCCCTACATGGCGTATTCCTTTTCCTGCTGCTTCTGCTTCATGTCTTCGAGGCATGGGTGGAGGAATGAATAAGAGCAGCATCTCTTCCTGCGGCATGACGTGTGACCAGGCATCGAAGACGACCCCACGGACGTGAATGCTTGGTACCAGCTGGGGACTTTCTTCAGAACTCAT